TTTAGTAAATTACTAGGAATCCTGAATGCTGAGTGGTGCAATGATAGTAATTTACTAAATCGCAAGCAATCCAGCAGGAAAAATAGCATCGTCTGCAGCGGGCTTTATACAAGAAATGAGTAAAGACTTAAAAATTCATACATATGTATATGTATAATTATAAATAAGAAATTTATCATATTAAAAAAATTCTTATACAAAAGCATGTGTAAATCTATAAAATTATACAGAACTGTGTATAAAGCCCGCTGCAGACGATGCTATTTTTCCTGCTGGATTGCTTGCAATTTAGTAAATTACTATCATTGCACCAATCAGCATTCAGGATTCCTAGTAATTTACTAAATTGCAAGCAATCCAGCAGGAAAAATAGCATCGTCTGCAGCGGGCTTTATTGTATAAAATTATTGATATTCAAACTGTCGATCTAGAACTTCCGCGGACGACCGGCAGTCGGCGCTGGTCGGCGCCAACGACGTAATGAAGGAGGCCGAGGTAGAAGACCTAACCCCTTCAGATTTTTATCGGCGCTGATAAATAACACGATGCACTGCTGAACATTCCACTCGCGGCGAGCACGGGTGTACGTATATCTGTCGCGACATGTCGGTCAGACTTTTGCGCTGTCTCGAGCTCTTCGTTCCGCGGGGCCAGCATGTTCGTCACGGCTTTCGTGTACGGGGGAAACCGCCGACCGTCGCCCGTTCCCTGCGGCAGCGTCTCGAGGAGCGCAATTGGAAGGACCCGACGTTGCATTTCAAGGTGAACATCGGCTACCCGGTGCCCAGGAACACCAGGCGTTCGATAACGAGCAACTGGACGAGTGAGATCGCGGCGCGCAAGAACGACGCCGAGCTGGAGAAGTTGTCGCGCACGAGGCAGCTGCTGGTGGACCTGCGGACGGTGCGCGAGGACTGGCTGCGGACCGACGGGCCCTTCCACGCGCACAGACTGGCCAAGCACTACGGCGTCTACGACGACCTGTACGGGGACGCCTACTTTATGCCGACGGTCCCGCTGGACGTGAGCTATAATCTAGCGGACGACAAACTGGTAAGGGTCTACACCGGTAATGTGATCAAGCCGAGCGAAGCTTCCAGGGTGCCCGAGGTGACGTACGACGCGGAGGACGGGTCGCTGTGGACCCTGACAATGAGCACGCCGGACGGCCATCTGACCAGTGGCGACAGCGAGTACTGCCACTGGTTCGTCGGCAACATCCCTGGGAGTCGACTGCAGGAGGGCGAGGAACTGGTGGACTATCTGCAACCGATAGCGCCGTACGGCATCGGCTATTGCCGATACATCTTCGTGCTCTACAAGCAGGAGCGTCGCATGGACTTCTCGGAGTACAAGCGCGCCAAGCCCTGCTTGAGTCTGGAGGAGCGCAATTGGAGAACGCTGGACTTTTACAGGAGATATCAGGACGATCTGACGCCCGCCGGCCTGGCGTTCTTCCAATCCGATTGGGAGCCCTCGCTCCAGGAATTTTATTACAACGTATTAAAGACGAGAGTGCCGATATTCCGGTACAATTTCCCCGCGCCGTACATAAAAAAGCAAAAGTGGTTCCCCAAGAAGGAGCCCTTCAATATCTATCTGGACAAATACCGCGACCCCAAGCAGATAAAAAAGGAGTTTCTGCTGAGGAAGCTGAAGAAGGTTCACCCCTTCAACGGGCCGGATCTACAATTGAAGTTCCCGTTGGCCCACAACGATAGGAAGTACGTACCTTCCTGGCTGAAATTCGAGATGATAAAGAAGAGGCTGGGATACGGCCACGTTAACGAGCTCAACGAATACTAGATTGAGAATTCGGTAATGCACCATATTGTACTAACGAATGAAACTAATCGTTCGCGAGCTTTGCATTTTATTGTGACGAGTCATTCCAGTTTTAGGTGCGCCTCCAGAACCTGCCTGCTGTGTAACTTGATGTCAGCCCGCGTTGGAACAGTGGCGTCGATCGTCTCGTGTTCGACCAACAGCTCTGCGAATCGTGTGTGTGTGTGAGACTTGTATAGAGAAAGAGTCGATAAAATTGTCAATTTATAGACACAGACAGATGTGACGTACCAATTTGTTCCTCTTTACCGGTCCCGAATATCAAACCGGAATTATAATTCGACACGTAGGTGTGATAAAGGTCGCGAGCTTTGTCCTCCTGCTCGAGCTCGAAATTGCTGATATTGAAGAGAACGCCTATTTTTCTGCTGATCCTCGACAGCAGCGTCAATACTATATGAAAATCACGTCGACAAATTGTTACTCTAGCAACTTGATGTCTTAAGGTCGTTCTACATTAGTCGCATCTTAGCGTCGCAAGGGTCGTAGACTAGTTATAAGTCAACGCTGATTGGCCGAATCTATGATTTGCGACGCTTGCGACGCTGCGATACGGTCAATGTAGAACCAGCCTTAAGGAGGACAAGATTCGAATTCGCATTTAATTAATAATTGCAACTTCCTTTACCATCGGTGTCCATTCCTTCAATTTCCGCCAGCACGTCGCGCTCGTCCATACTTTCTTTACCATTCACTATCGGTTCTTTCTTATTTTTTACCAGCTTCCTCACCGCTCCTTTGTCGGTGTATCTCACGCAAAGCAACATTGTGTTCATACTCTGCAGGGCCGCTTTGACATTCGTGAGCAATTCGCTATGAGCTTTTATTTGTTCCTTGAGATCCTTCTCACGTTTCTTCTCGATTTCGATTTGTTCTAATATATCTTGTGTACCATCTATCTTATACCTGAGATGTTTCAAATTATTAATTTGCGCTCGACGAGGTGAACGACGTATACTTTTATCAGTAAAATATCAGTAATTAATAGCATTCCTTTCTAATACATTAATTGTGCTCAATACTTTATCATGTCTTGCGGCAATTATTTACTGTTCTGTTGCCGTTTTTGTGGAGTGCTTAAGACCCTCGAGAACTTGTACAGCCTGGTTTTTCTTGCTCAGTAAAACCTCGCGGTTCTTTATATTGATGTCTAATCGCGCTAGCAAAGCTGTCCTCTGCTCGGATTGATTTTCAAGTCTGATCGCAGGAAGGAGACGTAGTTTATAGTGACGCAAAATTATAAATACTATGGAAAAAGATATATGGAGACCAAAATGAAATACCTCGATAACAGATCGTGATATGAGCGCACGAGTAGAACTTCTTTCACTTTGGTACAGACATTTTCCAATTGTACTAGCTGACCTTCTAATAATTTGGCGAGCACATCGGTGTCTTTTGTCGCAAAAACGTGAACGCTCTGTATGTTGCAAGAGAATATTTGCTTATACTAAATACTGAATCTCTTCATCGTACAAGTTATATGTATATATTAAGTTGATAGGTAGGTACTTTAAAACTTTATCTAAAGACTTTGTAAATAGCATATCTATCAACTTGACACGTAAATTCTTCAACTGATTTAGGTATATTTTACCAAAGTTTTATTATAGTTGTAATTGTTTCTTACAATCTTGCAGAGAGAGGGATCAACAGACCCTTCGGTCTTGTAATTACTCACCTCGACACGCACTAACGATTGCGCGTAGGCCCACAGATCTTTCACCTGACTGTGTACAGTACTCAGCATTTGCTCTCTGATTTTCATATTACGCAGGACGACCCGAGACATTCGTTTGTACTTCTGTCTGATGTCGTCGAGATTTTCCGCCGCCAGCTGACCCATCACTGTCACCTTCAACATCGCTTTGCATTGGGAAGATTGGTTCTTTTTCAAGATGTTCAACAGGGTATCGAAAAATATCGCGTCCTACAAAGATTTCGCAGGAACGAGAATGACGTGGTCGCATCGAAAGATCTTTAAATTATCGAACTCCTCATGCTTTTGAGATACAAATAATCATCGGAATGCGCCACTTGTATTTAATAATCGAAGATTTACTTTTCTCAGGATATTTTGCATCGACAAGTATGTCGATTGTATGTCTTTCGCCGCGTTGTGTTTCGCGATGGATCGCTGTAATTGCGCTATCAATCGTTGCTGCTCGCAGTTCGGTAGATATTCGCTTTGCTCCTCGAGCTCGGCCGACAGATCGTTGCATTTCAGCTGGCCATTCGGTGAACGAGGAAATCTTTATGGCTCAAAGTTAGCGCAAAACATGTACGCGAATCTTAATATTACATACCGAGTACATAAAGAACGCCATAATATTACAATATCTTAGTACATTAATATTCTAATGGGTATCTAACTTAATCTCATATATAAATATGTGAGCACTTTACTAATTATCATTTCAATCGTAGGGTATATTGAACATTTATTACGTCGCGTAAAAATCAGCCTGTAATTTCTACCTGTAATTCGACACCTCGCTCCAGTTTTTTCTTTTTCTCGTAGTAGAGCCTGTCCAAGAATCGACGTTTCAAATTGCAATCTTGACATACCGCTGCATAAATTTCCTACGGGATTTTCATATTACAGTTTATCCCAGAATTATCCTTATAGAATTCGAGTCACTTTTTAAAAATTCCAAGGCAATGTTGGTCTACGGATCTTAATCTTACGGATGGTTTCAGGTGATTAAACGCCAAACAAAATCTTCGGTCGCTCAGCAATCTGAGGATACGTTGTCTACCGTCATCGCGGAGATCGTTGACAATTTCGCGATCTCTCTTAACGTCTACTTCTAGAGACGCGACTTTCCTTGATACTATCGATTTCAATTTCGTCGCTTGCGACAGCTGTAGCTTCTTGTCGTGCGCTGGATACATCGGAACAATAAAGTATAACGATTTAGAGTTTATATTCTTTACTGAGCTACTTTGAAAAGAATTTTGGAAATGTCAAGAGGGAATTCTTGCACAATATTCTATCTTATATATGTCTCAAAAAATTCTATTCTAATTATCAATATAGAAATAGTATTGTCATAAATATATCATCTGTAGAAACGTTTCTCTAACATTGTATACTCTAACATTCTATTATCTATTTTAAAAGTAAAATAAGACTATTAATATTAATCCTAAGATAAATCTTGTTCTAAATATCTATTGTTCTATCTAATTAAGTTAGAAGCAGAGATATGTCTATTCCAATTCATGTGGGTGACAGATAATTAATTTTAAACAATGCTTAACCGTGTAACTTCAAAATTCCACGATATCGACTTATTTTGTCTTTGATAAGCCATGTCTTCACTTGTATTTCTTTAGGAGCTTTTGCGCGACCCATTTCCCCGACGTTCTTTGACCTTTGATGGAGTGCAACATCGAGTATTAGACATCACATCACGCGCAAGCGAGGAAATTGTCATTAACCGATTAATTGCGCGCTGCATTCCAGTTATTATGGCAACGAGAACGGTAACTATGTCAGCCGCTAACATTTTAACACTCGTTTGACATCTATCCGGTAGTGAGAGGAAACGGTATCGCGCTTTATCATGAAAAATAAATGGAAATGGTCGTGAGAAAATATTTATTAGGGGCGTATTAAGAAAAAGGGATTTGCTTTTATTAAAATCGTTGTACGTCCGGAAGAGAATTATAAACCAAGTGGCCGCTCCGTGATCGACGTTTAACGCAAATCGCTCCTTCCATTGGCAACTACTCGTGATTATTTGTCGACTCGACGAATCGTAACTGTAACTATACTCGTCACTCGATAATATTAACTTTACGTAACGTGTCTACCCTTGGAAACAAAATGAGTGCTTGACGCCTTTCCACGTTTCTTTTAGTACCGAAATGTACGTTTGCTACCCGTATAATGAATATCGAATGTCCATGTAAGATAAAATAGCATAAGTAGTCCGTGAGGATTCTTGAGTATTCGATCCATATTCGCTCATCAAACCTCTTTGTAAGATCGACAGGGTGGCGGCGGTGCGCTCCAAATGCCATTTTCCCGACACGACGGCTTCTTCACTGGCTCCAGAGGAGTCACGTAGCCAGGCGAGCACGTTACCTGTTTCAAATATTAATTATCTGTTTAAATTATCAAATTCCAAATTTCAGAATTACATTTCAATAATTTTGAAAATTCTATTTTATTAATATTTATGCTCTAATCTCCCTATTGTTTGACAAAGGAAAATCTATTCACCTGTATATTATCTCCTGGTTTGTACCAAAACTTAAGAGGAGCGATTCGGCCATGAGGAGGATCACCTGGGTAAGGACACCTTACTTTACCTGAAATGTCACATAACCGATTAATTTGTTGTTTGAGAATCTCAACGAACGGCACATTAATTTTCTTAGTGCTATCGTTCTTTATAAAATTACAGAATGAAGGGGCGCAATCATTTCACGCTGATTATACTCGAAGTATAGAAGATTATAAAACTTACAATTAGCTGTAAGGATACTCACATACGGGCGGATCGTGAGTCCAAGTACCGTTCTCAGTGCATATAGTAGCCGCTTCTCCTATCAATTGGTGACCTGGTTGACAGGCGAATCTCACTAAGGCGCCAACTTTGTATGTCCGCACGTGATTCTGCTTTTTATTAGAATATCGCGGTTGCTCGACGATGCGTCCACTTTGTGGCGTTTCCGGTACAGGACAAGTGATCTCTGCAGACGTCATCGTTTGTTAACTATAGCATTATTTTTGCGAAGATCATAATTTTATATCTCTCTAATCAAAATTCAATATTGACTTCATAAAGAACCTTTTCCTAAAGGATGTACTTTCGTAATTAAAAGAAGTTAAGTTTTAAAAAATTATAGTCATTATTATATTGTTTAGAATGTTGCAATATCTTTTTGAAGACACGTTTATAATTATTATCTAAAGAATTCTTTCAAGGTAGAATTATTCCAAAATGATTGTTTTACTTTGACAACTCGGCATAGATCCATTCCATTTGCCGTCCCCTTCGCATGTCATGCTCTGCGAGCCCAAAAGCTTGTATCCCCACATGCAGGTGAAGACGGCCTTCTCGCCATAGGTGTTATTGTGCTCGTTCAATTGCAGCAACGCGTTGTCTTGGATATTTATCTCTGAACACCTGATCGTCTCGCAATGCGGCACCTCCGTCGACCATTTACCTGCAAGAACACAATTTTTTAAAAAATTTTCACATCTAATTGTGCTCGCCGAAAACAAACGTCGCTTCGTACCATTGTACTGGCATGTGATGCTGGAGGCACCTTCTAATCTGTATCCCGCTGGACACTCGAACACGGCACTATGTCCCATTCGGCTACCCTCGATGCGACTGACTAACGGCGGCTCCGGGGCATCCAGTACCGGGCATTGAACGTCTGCAAAATTGAAGTCATACGATAGGGAATTACCGTCGTTATTGAACGCTGATCAATATTGGTGCAACAAATTCTAAGGACGAATTCTAGCTTCAACAAATTCGTTGATTCTACAAGATGTAACTCAGTAGCCGTACCTATGACGCGAACTCTTATAGAGTTGTTCAATCCCTGAGGTGTGGTACACGTGTACATTCCGGAATCTTGAGGCTTGGCATAGTACATCGACAGGCGGAACTTCCAGTTCCTTTCCCGTGGAGCGATCGCCCATCCTAGGACGAGTAAGTAAAATATAAATCATTGAAGAACGAATGTTCAAAATCATTAAACTGAAAAAGATCTCATCTTTAAATCTTAACGCGTTTCAGTGGATGCAAAAGTTCAAGGTCTCCTTTTTCAGATTTGCGATAATTCCCGGTGACTCACCCGTCAGATACCGGCGGGCTGAATTCCACGTCCATACGGGGTTGCCCAGCTTCCTGGCGAAGAGACACTCCAGATGCAGGATACTTCCTGGGTAGACGGCGAGTGCACCGGTCGGCTCTACTACGGCCGAGCCAGCAGGTAGACCGAAGACGATGGTCGGCGGTACATCTTCTGTTGATCCTCGGACAACGCGAGGATCGAAATTAGAAAGGCATTTGTTAACGACGACCCGTACAACGCAAAGAACCGGGACATCGAAAGATGTTTAAGTATATATTCCGAGTGTACTTTTCATCAGTCACTTTCTGAATTGGAGTAGACAGTTAAATAGACATCTGCTGTTCTTGCAGGATCTTCCAGACACTTGCGTTGTATTTAAGTCTAAAATTATATACGAGACATTACGACGTACCAGTGTAATTGGAGATCGCCGTGGTAGGCACGCAGTAAGGTGTCTTTCCGTCCCACGCGCCGTTGTGGCAGTGCAACGAAGAATCGCCGATGAACTTGTATTTACCTATCTCTCGACATCTCACCATGAGCCGTTCGTTATTAGGTACGCCGATCGTGTCTACCTGTAACATACATTTGTTCTTTAAAATATTTGAGACCGAAAATTAGAATGTAATGAGGAAACTCCTGACTTTTCAACATTTTTAACTCCGTCGGGTTTCTTCGTATTTTTCACCTAAAATTTTTTTACTCTTAACTGCAACGTGAAGCTTTACAGCCGACGGATGATAAAACTTAAAATATTTAATTTACCGTGTAAAAAGGAGAGTAGGCTTATATTTTTACTGATTACTTTTTTCAGCAACTAAATTCTCGAAAATTGTAGTTAATTAACGGTATTAATTATAGCCGTATTAAATGTGCAGATTCAAATGTGAGGATCTTTGCAATAAGACTTTAAGTTTACTTATTGTACTTATTTTTATGTATGTACATTTTTTAATTTGCTTCCTTATTACCGATAACTTATCAAGTTTCAATGTTAACAATTGTACTGCCAAAGAAAAGCATGGAAGTGATATACTCACAGATATAGTGAGATGTTTATAGGTGACGATAAGAAGAGGATGAAGGCCTTTCAATACGCAAATACCTCCCCGTTCCAAATTCTCGGTATCTGGAAGCATGTACGACATGTTTTGGAGAATTTAAAATTGTATCTTTTAGTTCGCGCACGCTCGCTCACACCCTCGCAACAGCGTCCGGAGATCGATCACGTTTTATAGCGGCTTGCGCGATGAACGCCGAAATAGAGATCGATCGGACTCGATCGCGTGGTACACAACGAAACCGTGGTTGCATTATCATCGCGTCTGATGGTGCTAAAGGGTTGCACGTGCTTTCCCTTGAATGTTACTTTGAGATAACTTGAGTCTTCATCATCATGACCGGCTCTACAGCCCCAAGTGGGCCCTGGCCTTCATAATAAATTGCCTCCATCCGAAGCTCATTGTGTGTATTCGCGACGGTGAATTTTTACGGTGAGGGGTTGTTAGCCTCTCGCCAACCCTCTTTTCGGAGGACAGGGATATGTATGGCAGGATACTCTCGGTAGTTTCCACTTCTCTCCGAGAGAAGTCCGAAAAAACCAGCGGTATCCGTGGGTGAATTTGAGCTCGGAACTTCTCGTTCATTTGTTTACTAAGCAGCGCACATTTCTCTACGCCACGCTCGTCACACTAACTTAAGTCTTAACAAATAGAAAATTGTGGATCTTTCTGTAAAATGATACAATTAAAACTAACTGGAATAAAGATTAATCTCGTGTGCTAAAAATTCAAAATTGTAAATAGTAATTTATATTTCTTGAAGTTGAAATCCGGTTTTTGAAATCTCCGTTTTCTCTTTTACGTGTATTGAGAAGAGATTTACACGAAATATCACATTTCAAGTAAATTATGATAAAATAGATACAATTAATATTTTCCTTCGAAGGAAAATAATATATTTGTATGGATCTTTAAACAGAAACACAGAATCTCTCATTTAAAATCAGTTGTCTTGATGCAATCATCAATCAACGGTCCTTGTAATAATTTCAGGAACTTAACAAATTCTATCTCAAGCAGACCACTTACGTTTAGTAAATGTTTAGAAAATGTTCACCCAATATGTCTTCATGCATAAAAATACATATGATATACGTTTTATACGCCATAAAAACTTAAATGAAATCGTCGAAATACCTCGTGTAAAAACAGTATTTAAAATTAGTCAAGAAACATTGAGATAGACGTTATAAAACATTTTTATGATCCATTAAATAATTTAAAAAGAGATTTAAACGCTTATTTTTCTACCTTACGCGTTTAAAATGAATTGGTAACATTTATTAAACGTAACTGTGTCGCTTGGAGCCTTCGATATCTGTGTTCGATCCTTTAATTACTCCGGAGTATTCCTTATCAATTCCGCCGTTCTTTAAAAGTCGACTTTCCATTGCAGGGACCCGCACGGGGATATCCTGCGGACGATGTGCACGCACCTATGCACTTGATATTCAGCGTGAGCAGGAGCAACGTCGTGGTCGCTATCGCGGCGACACGTGCACGGGTCCTTCCTGAACGGTCGTCGCGCGGCATGCTGCTGGTGTCCTGGCAGACCCCGGTCACGCAGGACCATGATTAACGACGACGAGGGACGCTAACGCGGCGTGGTAGCGAGGCGGACGCATGATCGCGCGTCGCCGATCGGCCCCGGCTGCCGTCACGCGGCCCCGCTCATTATCTCGCGCCGAACCGGAAGGACACACTCTCTCGCGTCAGCACCGAGCCCGATTATCACACCCTGCAATCGGATGCGGGAGCGTGCGACGATACGCTAGCAACAACGTCGATACTAAACATCCATAATCGGCGGGGGTGGCCCGAGACTCGCTATTCCGAGGGATGCGCATGCGGCCACCCCCTGTTCTTTATCCCCGTCTCTCGCTCTCTCGCTCTCTCCGTCTCTTTTCTCATCGCCGCTGCTTTCAACCCAGAACTCCATTTGGTCCATGTGCCAGATCTGTAATTCTGGCCGCGGATGTACAGGGTGATAACGTTCACCGATTCTGTAAAGTTTACAATGATAAACAGGAAGTTCTAAGTAGCTCGCTAAGTGACTAATCTCGAGCAGATTCTAGTAATATCATTTATGTAGCATTATCCAGTCGGATAAACATTAAATAATATTTAATTGTATGAAAAATTGCAGAGATTGGCTCATTAAATTAGATGTGAACAGCGGCGTATAAAGAGGCCCATTGTTGAAGTGTTCAATTTTTAATGAGAGATCCTTTCGGATTCTCTTTGCTGTTTACAATTGTATAAAGCGCAAGTGATGAAACGAGGCACCCTGTAGACGGATCCTATATAGAGGTGTTATCGCGAGAAGAGATCTCTGAATCACTTTGTTCCTGTTTTAAGCATCTGTGACCTATTTTTCCGTTTCTTTTTGGAGAGTTAATACAGCAGTACATGAGAATGAAAAATGAAGAGACGCTCGGGCATTATTCGAGTGTTTTAAGAGCGAAAAATGAAAATGAAACCAGGTACAAATGCGAGCTCGGGTACAGCCAAGATTTACGAGAGCGGGAAAGGACGCACCGTGTGTGTAAAACAAGATAAGATTATATCAAATATATTAACAAATGGATAATAGAACAAGTTAGATATACATTACACATATTTATTAGACATATACATATATATGATATACAAATTTGTTTAATCTTAATGCATATATTACATTTTCATTATTTTTAATCTAATTATTTTTATTCGTTATATATAACAAATAAATAAGAAAATAAGATAGATAAAAAATGTAAACATATATATGTATATCAGAATTAAATATTCGATGTTATATTCGGGAAAGAAATCGCGATCTCATTGATATTCGATCAATCCCATAGTTGTACTACATTTGAAAACTCGCGGTTTGCCTTCCTACATGAAGGTAATCGCAAATGCGAGAATTAGAGCCGAGGGCTTCAGACGAGTTCCACGTAAAATAATAATCATGTCCCGGGTACCGGGAACGAAAATACATCTCTTGCAGGTAGTGTAAACGTATAACGTTCCATCGTCATTAGTCATTCAAATCAAACTTCTTATTTGTAAACCTGTCGGCTGCCTTCTCTACTTGAAGACAGTTGCAAGCGTGCAAATTACAGTTTATTTCAGGCGCGATCCGCGTTAATTAGCAATTACACTCCAAGGCGAGCGTACGTAGCGAATTATGGACGATGGAAATAGACTGAGCATGCAGGACGTCTCTCAACTGGAGCGGCAATTTCGTGAAAAGTTCTACGAGTTGCAGAGCAACGCGGTGAATAATGCGACTGGCCATATTGATTAACACTCGAAGCGCACTTAACCCTTTGCGCCCAGCATGGACCTATATATGTTCTTAAATCAATTCACGAATATCAATGGACATGCGGAGATACTGCAGGATGATACGTGGATGTTTAGAGCGTACTTTTGGACGCGACTTTGAACGAACTGCGATTAATTTAATCGGCGATTAATAAGCAATACGTGTACCAGTTTGCGTCCATGTGGATAGAATGATTAATTTTTTATTGTTTTAATACTTAGAGAGAGAGAGAGAGAGAGAGAGAGAGAGAGAGAGAGAGAGAGAGAGAGAGAGAGAGAGAGAGAGAGAGAGAGAGAGAGAAGGGAATTTTAAATTAAGGCTACGAATTATACAGCTGGAAATTTTGCAATTCTGCAGGTTGAATTAAATATTAATTGGAATTTGGCCGACATCACTCTGAGGGTCATGTTGGTAAAATCTAGACCGGCATGGATAGAATAATCAATTTTTGTTAAATATGAGAAAAGAAAGACTAGATTAGAGACGACGAATATGTTAAACAATTAATTCTAATGTAATTGTATTAATTAAAATTTTTGCTGTAGGCAATTCTGCCGATGGAATTTATTGATTGAGTTAATCGAAGCTCGATGCAAAGTCGTCTCCAATTACGAATATGACGCAGTTCTTTGTCTGAACAAAAATGTTATTCTCTATTTTAAAATTCCTAGATAACTCAAGTGATGCTGATTCTTAATGAAAGTATTCTTAATCAAGTATCGCATTAAAAGATTCTTAACCCTTTATTCAAATCGAGAAGTTTCGTAATAATATTAAAATAAGAATTATTTCTTTTAATAAAAAGAAATAAACAAGTGCTTTTTACGGTGGCTGGTTCCATTATCAGTTATGTAATACGAATTGTACATTTCGAGAATAGAACACCCTGCAGACGATGCAGAAGGAACTTCTGGAAGCTCGTCACGCTTTATACAGCACGGAGTTGGAGTTGGAAAAAGAACGCGGTATCTCCTACGAGCTGAAGATGCGTCTGAGAGTGGTCACGGAGATGGCGAATGAGTCGCAGCAGCAGCAAACAAAAGATCAGGTGGAAACTGTTCAGCTACGAGTGAAGTATGAGACGATGGCGAAACAATACGGGTCCCTGATGAGTCAGGCCGCAGCCGCAAAGGTGCACGAGGCCGAGTGTAAAATTAAAATACGCAGCTTAGAGGAAAACTTGCGTCAGAAGGAGGCGAGTAACAAGAGAATGGAACAGACGTTGAGGCAGCTTGAACGTGACAATGCGCGCGTTATTGCCGCTGTCGATCAGTACGTTGACTCCTCGTTTGACTTCCTCGTGAATGCGTCAAATATTCAGTGTTCTCGACTGAGTCCTCTTACAGCAACAATTAAATGAAACATTCAATCTTATACAACGTTACATAGAATCTGTATACGCGACTTTGCTTCCAATCCTAGCTCATCATAGTAGATTCTCCGATCGATTTTCGGCCACGATAACATCAATAATGAAGCGAAAATGTAATCTTGTAGATAAATAATTCATCCTTGACCTTTTAGCAAAATCACGAAACTTAAAGACGAGCATCAGCACCTGCAGAAATCCTGCAAAGAGATTATTATCTTCAATCAGCGCTTACAAACCGTCGGTCTATGCGCGCACGCGATACACCAAAAGAACCAAGCGAAAATCAATGATTTGGAACACAAGCTAGCCTCGACGACGGTCAAGAACGCGGACCCCGCGGAAGAATCTGTAAATCATCGCGCACATCCGAGCATCGGACAATTATCTCGGCCATCTACATAAAGTATAACGGGATAGGAGTTTATCAATAAATATACTGACACGTGTTACGTACAGGATTAATAAAAAATGTATTATATAATAATCGTTTGTATATTTAAGTATAAGTTGAACAAGTTCCGATGGTAAAAATGCAAACTTGCAAGATGCACATCATGACAACCAGCGAACGAAGATTTGTTTATTCATTCTTTTTTTTCCACTACAGATCCCTGTAAACAAGTCTAATTCTATATGCAAAGCAAGTCCGCCGGAAGATAAGCTTCGCGCACTTATGCTCGTTTCCTCTTTTTTTTCATTTTAGACCTAATAAAAATTCTATGACTATCCGTGATATAACAAAATTGTTACTATAAAGTTCTTGTTCAATTCGTCACAAGGCATTTTCGTTATGTCAGTTAATGCTCTTAGTACACTTTACGTTTTCCCGTTAATTTTGTGAAAAAGCTATATTCGCTTAGTAACAGTATAAAAACGATTGTGATACCTATACTGCTTAATCTTATTTTTTCCCTTACTTTTAGTCATTGTATGTGATGTTGTATGGTGTGTGATGCATGTTTCTATACACATAGATATATGTATATATACATATACATATATGTATATGTATTTATGTGTATACATACGTTTATAGACACATGGTCCTTCGATAAGAGAAACACGCGATGTAAATCAGGTTGAAATATAAATTGCAGAATTTCGTGCATAAGAAGTTGTATACTTCATCCCATTGCCATAAAAAATTAAGTAACACATACTTTTACACTTAATAGCGATTTCGATTAAAAAAAAAAAGAAGTCAACCATTACCCTTGATACAAGAAAACCAGAGGAGAAGTTCATTGTGTGTTTAATATATCACATCTGACATGATTTTCACCTGATATTTAATAAATTACATTATAAATTCCTTAAGAGACGCAGCAAGACATTGGATCACATTACGGTCATAACTTAAATTACCGCGGGACTACTTCGTCTAAGTCCATTTATTTATATCGATTAACAAGTAGAATATTTATATAACAGACTGCAGCAGTTTCATTCAACTAAAAAACAATACATCCTCTTCTCTACAATAAAAATATAAAAGTTTCAATACTTTCTCCTCTGAGGGTTCTTCGGCAGAAAAAAAATACATTCATGCAAATAATTTCCGAGTCTTTAATACGACGTGATAACGTTTCATTGTCAAGGAATAAACCCACTATACCCGATATTTGGGATGTGAAGAGTTCCACAGAACATCGGTTTTGTTCGACGAAATGAACATAAGTAAATAATGATAGTAAATAGATGCGCCTCCTTGAACAGTTGAAAATATTTGGGGGGTCAGAGTATAATACAACGGGCGAGCCAACTAGGTGGCTTCCTCTGTGGTTCCGAAGCTTTCAACTGATGGCCGCCGCCTTTCGGTGGATTCGATGCCTCCTGTGCAAAACAAGACACGGAATTAGCTGGATGCACGACATCAATTGAACAGGTATAATTAGTGCACGAAAATTTCATCAGAATCTCACGCCATTTTCGGCTCATAACCAGACAAAATGTTATTCGTTGCTCAGTCCAGCAGTTATTTAATGTGTTACACTCGATGCAAACTAACAGACTGCGTTTTATCATTGCATTTGCTTCATTATTAGACATATTTATCGCAAAGTTAATTGTGAGTGACGTAACGTAAACCCAGATATTAAGCAAACTTAGTGCAGTGGAATGCAAAAGTGACAGGCATACTTCTCAAGCAAGACATGTAGATCGGAATTTATATCAGAGGTGCAAGGAATATTTGAAGCAGATGATACTGTTTAAGTTAATACAGATCGAATGATTAGCGTATTCGCAATATTCTTTTAGCAGGCGTTTGCTCGCAACGCGATAGTCAAGATAAATTAATGAACAGTAGCCACAGATGGTACAAGATGCAGTGATACGTCATCACAGAATGTTGTTGTTAGTTAACTAAGTTACGTAGATATAGAACACGAGATGCATAATTAACTAAACGGTGTACGAAGAGAGTTACCTTCTGCCAAGATAGCCAGCACCAAACACAGAGAAACAGAGACAGGAAACAGAGAAACAGTGGTTATTTCGTAGTACACGTAAGAAAATATGTTTGTAAGTGAAAACCGTACGATTTAAGCGTATCTCGCCCTAATTTATATTATATCAATTATTAACAGCTATCGAGCTTCAGATGTGACGGACTTGACGTGTTGAAATACTGATTGCAGCATATCATTACAGGGAAATATCAAATATTGATTACAGAAATAATCTATGTTTGGACAATCAATATCCACAATCTGGTTGAAGTGTATACGGTATGATTCATGTCTCCTCACCAGTTTCTTCTCCATCTTTGCTTTGATATCGCGTGCCAGAGTATAAAAAGCTTCTTCCACATTGATACTAGACTTGGCCGAGGTTTCCATAAACTTAATGCCGTACTCGACAGCCAGTTGCTCGCCCCTCTCCTTAGTCACTTGCCTCTTGTCTGTAAGCTCACACTTATTGCCTAATAACATCTTCTCAACGTCCGCCGACGCGTTCTCCTCTATATTACGAATCCAGTTTTTTATGTTTTCGAAACTTTTGTCGTTCGTAACGTCGTACACCAACATGATCCCCATCGCGCCACGATAGTAAGCCGTGGTGATGGTGCGAAACCTTTCTTGTCCAGCGGTGTCCCTGCAAGCGCCAATACACATCCGCTAAGTCGCATCGCACATGATCCGCAGCACAACTTACAGACTTTGTTAAATATACTCGGTACAAATTGAACGGCAGGGGGAGAAGGGCGCGAGGCGTATATTTACCATATTTGTAGCTTGATTTTCTTGCCGTCCAGTTCGATGGTACGAATCTTGAAGTCAATGCCTGAAACGTAGAGAATGAGACAGTGAATCGAGATCCAGGAGGGCAGCCTCGCCGGGCACGCGGCACAGAATGAATCACGTCACTGTGAGCGGCGCGGCATAATGTGCCCTTTGTCCACTATCGAGTGATGACATTCGGTCCCGCGCGCGCGGTGGCGGGCGATCTTCCCCGAAGACACACCCCGGTCCGCGCGCGGCGCCGCGCGGCCAGCGATTAACGAGGAGCGCGCGAACGCGAGGTCGGGGATCGCGGGGACGGTGGGGGAGGAGACGGGGAAGGTCAGGACGACCAGCGTGCCGATCGGCAAACGTACCGATGGTCGAGATGAAGGTGGTGTTAAACGCGTCCTCGGAGAAGCGGAACAGCACGCAGGTCTTGCCCACGCCGGAGTCGCCGATCAGCAGCAGCTTGAATAAATAATCGTACGTCTTTGCCATTGTCGTCGCGTCGCGTGGGCCGCCGCCGAGACCTCCCCGGGCGACGATTATCGGCTCACCACGTCGGGCCTTCGGGCGCCGCGCGGACGGTACTTCCTGGGCGTTCGCGACGGACCCACCAACCTCGCAAGACCAGCTGGCCGAGTCTCTCTGTCTCACTCTCCCTCAACCTGTCGCCCTCTACCTTTTTCTCTCTCGCTCTCCCCCCCTTTCTCACTCTCTCTTCCTCGCCGCTCGCCAGAGAATTAGATGTCTAACCGCCTCGTCCGCGGGACATTTGACGAAGCGCGTTCTCCTTCCTTCGACGCTCGCTCTCTCGCTCTCCTTCCGTCTCTCCTTCTCTGCCTGCTCTCGGGAGCTCCTCGACTTTTCGTACGCGATGACAGCACCGCGACGGGCGGTGACGCGTGGCTCTACACGCGCGGGAGAAGGGGGCTCGCTTGCGTTTACCCTCGTGCACGCTCGCGACCGCGCGACCGCGAATTAACGAAGCGGATTAATCGCGCGAAACACATCTGTCACGTAAACGCGGTGACAGACCGTCCCGACCATGGACTTGAAGGACGGAGAGTTAGGGCCGGGGGGTTGAAGCCTTGGTGGGGAAGGGGACTTAGCTTTCAGCCATCTTGTTAGGCGCCATTAGTGCTGCTATCTCTTGAGTATGTGCAATATTACTTTTGAGTCCTTTGACTAGTCAAAGG